GGGTATTTATACTTGCCTCCTCCTCAATGGATGGTCAAGATCTATTCGATCTAACGGCTACAATTTATCTCTAGAATATTCTATACAAGTGTACAAGTATCTATATGAGTCTAGATATAGAGTATTCTATGAACCTCCGGAATTCTGCCCCTTTCTCCTGGTAGCTCTAGAATCCAGCTGTGGGCTTGGTCACGAGTTATGCCGCGGCGAAATTATCTGCCATGCCACGGCGTATCAGCCCTTTATGCCGTGGCGTATCTGCTGCAGATGGGAAACTCAAGTGCTATTGCCATCACTCAGGATCATGTGCTACACTCAAGGACAAAGCACATTGAGGTCAGACATCACTTCATCAGAGATCATGTGGAGAAAACGCACATCAGCATGGAACATGTACCAACAGAAGACCATCTAGCAGACATCCTAACCAAACCTCTCAATGAGGCAAGGTTCAACAAGCTGAGAGAAGAAAAGGGAATGATGGATGATATTCCCAGAGATTGTTGAAGAAGAATCCCTCTGTGATAGAAACCCTCTAACATAGAACACCTCTGTACCAAAACCCCTCTGGCACAGAGACCCTCTCACAGAAGGTCATGGACTTGGCCAAAAGAAGATTTACTTGGTTAATATTGATCAACACAAAAGAGTTCTTAATGAAAATCAAGCTTCAACAAAACGACATGAGATTTACACGTGTCATATTGTCCAACAAGTGGTATATTGACCAACAAAAAGAGGTCCTCAATTCATACAGCCCCAACAGAACGGTTTGAGAAAAGTTCAAGTTTGATTCATGGACTTGCGCTATTCGGGGATCTCGTGCGCAGAATACTCAAGTAAGCTTTTTTTTCTCTTACTCATTCTTAAAAGCCCATATTCTGTTAGGGTACAGAGCACCCTAGAAAATGCAGGACTTCAAATCTAAAACAAATACTGGATATCAGCTTAACTCAACGGATTGCGAAGATCTCACTACTAATTAATGGTGATCCTCCTTAATCGCATAATTTATTGTGTGATTATTGGAGATATTATGTCAATAAAAACTTCCTTATGAAGCGTTGGACGCTCCTCTTCACCTATAAATTCAACAGAACACCATACAGAACACACCACCTCTCCTCTTCTAATACTGCATACGCTTAGAGGGAATCTTAGACATACTTAGAACCTCTGAGTACATCTTCTAAATGGCCAACCTAAATGACCTGACCTCGAAAATTCTCCATTTGAATGAGTCCTTGACAGAGGTCAAGGAGGCCCTCTCGGTGTTAATGGAACACGTTCACCTTCTTTAAAAGGAGACTCAAGCCCGACACCAGCTGCAACAAAGCTCGTTGGATGCTCTTCGTCATCTCCCTGATGCAATTCGTCAATTGCATCTCCTGATCCTCCATATGGCTGATGCCAACAAGGGGGAAGAGAACTAAGAATGAGAAGAGCACGAAGTAGAAAATAAAGGGGGAACAGAATAGAAGACACATAGGAGGAGAAATTGTTTACTGAAAAATGTTCATTGTTTATTTAATCCTTCGTCTGTCTGTATCTTTATCCAGTGATCTTAAATAAAAGATATTTTTTATTGCAATCATGCTTGTTCTTACATATCTTGAAATGCCTACTGCTTTCTTATGCATGTTGCCCACCAAGTATAAAACGTCACATGGAAATTTCTCCATTTCAATTTATTTAAAGGTGAATGGCACATCTCTGGAAAGTAGACTAAATGTTTTGGCATCATCAAAAAGGGAGAAATTGTAAGGAATAAATTGTATTTAGATTTTGATGATGCTAGACTATTTAGGCTTTTAGAACAGAACCCCTTTAGAAAATTGTATTAGAAATTTACATATGTAAGCATTAGAATAATCGACTGGACAGAAGACCTTCAGGCCCTCTGTTGGACTTCTACTGGACAGAAGTGCTTGAGGCTCTCTGAGATTGCCCCTCTGTGTAAGGCAACAGATGGCCTCACACTTAAAGAATTTTGGTGCTACCTAATCCGGTTAAACTAACGGGATATACCCTAACGGCTAGGAGCCTCTCAACGGGAAAGCTACAGTACACGCATTAAATTCCCATTTAATGTGCTTCACACGTTGAGATATTTAAAGCTGATGATTGACCAAGGATCCAAAAAGAATATCTTTATGCGCCCAAAAATAGCAAGCCGTCTGCTTTTGGAACCAACCGGTCAAATCTACAGTACGAGCATTTAATGAAGTTGTCTTCTACACTCCAACAGGAAGATAACTCTCAGTATATAAGATACACTTTGAAGAACTACTCGAACAACTTTTGCTCACTACAATATTCAAGCTTTCTTGAGATCTGAACTTCATCTTCCTCAACAAGAAAAGCTTACGTTGGAAAAGATATTTTTTCCACATCTACCATATCCAACAAGAGAAAAGTTCCAGTTCTTCAACACTTCAAAAGCCTCATCTACATATCTTTTGTAACGAAGCCACATGGGAGAAATCTGTCTTTTAGCAAAACAATCTTCTTGCAAAAGAAGGGCGTCCAAGTAACTGAAGTAGTGAAGTGGGGATACTTCAAGGAAACTCAGTGAAAGGACCAGTCATACGGAAGCAAGAGAGTGCATCCTAGGTGACATCTACACTTGAAGAAGACATGAAGAGCTTTTTAAGTGCTAGGGCTAAGGCGTTTTAATTGTGACTTTTACAAGCTTAATGGAACAGTGGACTAGAGGAACGAGTTGTTCCTTGAACCAGTATAAAAATCCACTGTGTCACTTACTTACTGCACTTATAATTCTTGCACTTATCTTTAAACTGCTTAACTTCAAAAGACCTGGTCTCTGAGCTCAGTAGAACAAGTCTTAAGAGTTAACAGAAGGCCTATTTCCTTTGCACCTCTGTGAGGCTAACGGGACAGAACCCCTACCAAAAGACCATCTGCTGCCAGTCTGTTCTTCAACAGAATAGGCTATTCTGTTAACCTTGGTACTTAGCTTGAAAAAGTTAAAACCAAAACAGTCTATTCACCCCCCTCCCCCCCCCCCCAGGCTGTTCCTTGTATAATCGGGACCAACAACTTGCGAGGTGCTATCGGCCAGGCTTAGCTTGGTCCAGGATGGAGGGGAAGTCAAGGCGGCTATGGTGTGACGGTGCTGCGTAGCGAGGGAGCAGGAAGGCTATTCGCATACATGGGTGATTATGTAGATGTGGGAAAGCACAAAGAGATGGCTATGAAGGACTAGAGTTCGGCCGGCGATGGAAGATCAATCACAGCGGTACTAACGATCTGGCCTCCTCCCAAACCACCACCATGTGTTGAACGAGGTGCTAGGGTTTGAGAAATTTATCATAGTAGTCATTGTTATTTTATTGATTGATTTCTTGTTAAAGTCTTTATTGTTAGGTTTATCAGGATGATTGAAAATTTAATTTATTTTTATGTCTTTAAAAGTATATGGATCTATAAGACCAGTGATAGATATGTCAAACCTCCTTCGTGATTAACGATTCATGTTGCTCTTTCAACAGTGACCATTTCTATTTTTAATAGTAGGATTTAGAGTCGTAGTTGGTAGGCGTGAATCGGTCTTAGGCATGCTTTTTCTTTGATTGATTAACGATCCTTAAACTAGTGATATAAATATAGGCGATATTCTTTCAAAAAAAGAAAGGAAATTTCTTTGTTTGCTGCAAACTTTCTTTTAAAAAAACATTTTCACCGCTTGCACTCTTAGAAAAATGGGGTTAACCTAATTAAACCCAATAAAACAATGGACCAACTTTTGTAAATATATATTGGCTTTTTCACACCTATCATAGTACCAAAATTTCTACACTGATGTTAATTTTCTCGCACTTTAAATAGATCGTAATATAGTGGTGTAAGTACGAGTATCGTCTCCAGAGGGATGGACAAAAGGGAATTAAAGACTAACTAAATTCAGCGATTAAAAAGAAATAAAATAAAATAAATGCGATTGTGCTAGATTGGTTGGTTTGGAAAATTAAAATGCAGATGAACGAATAAAATAAAGCTTGGTTTTCTTCTCAATTAACGACGAAGGGAACAAGGATTGATTCCGGGGTAACCAGATTTCTGGCAGATCAGGCCTAATCACATGAAATTAATTTAATTGAGCCTAGCTAATCATTACTAAGTTCTTACCGCTCTCGCGGCGTAGAGTACAACAATTTAGGGGTCCAGACTGATCTCTCATGCGACAGGATCCTAAATTATTGTCAAGACGAGCGAGCTTACGGCCCCTTAATCGCTACTAATCTCTTAGCGAACGATTAAGTGTGTGTGAATGTGTCCTATAAGAAACTAGATCCCTCTTAATTTATTCTACAAGCAATTGTAATTCTAGTGGCCATCTAGATTACAAGAGATATCAGTTAAATTAAGCAAACACAAATTAAATGGCATTCATGAAATTAAACCAACAAGAATATAGCCATACATCATGATTAACCCCTTCATCAATCCCAAATCCCTAATTAAAACTACTCACAATTCATAATTGAAGAATCAACAGAATTGGGATGAATATAAGAAATTGTCATTAATTAAAAAGAATGAACTTGCAAATAATCTCAGGGTCTTGGAGTAAAACAACATAAAAATGCAGGTAAAATCGTCCCTAGGCCTCTCCGTAATGTTCGTAACATCAAAACAGGAGAAGGGAGGCCTTATTTATAGAAAAAGGTAAAACTTAGTTAAGATTTGTGACTAGATTAAAGGCCCCTTCCCATTTCTTTCATAGTATGAACTCACTTGATAATGGTGAAATTCAATAATTCAGTTCAATATGTTGAAATATGTAAAATTTCTGGCCGGCTCATAATTATTCTATGAAAGTGCTGTTGTCAAAGAATATTTCCATATAATTTTCATATTTGAAATAATTGATTAAAAAATATTGTTGGTCAAACTTGATCACCATTGACCAAGAAAAATCAATATAACTAAATTTTATGAGACAAAAGAGTTAAAGAGTATAATCACGTTACAAGATATGAGTTCCACAATCTTTTCTAACGAAACTACACATTATATATAAGGTTATTTTACAAAAGTTATTATTCTACTATAGATAGATGTACCACGTGCATCACACGGGTACTTTGTCTAGTTATCATCATCATCACCCAGTGCCGCAAAGGCTCCCCATCAACGGTGGGATAAGGGAGGTCGGATGTACGTAGTCTTACCCATGTACTAAAGCACAAAGATACTGTTTTTTCGAATGACCCATGGTGAAAATCGCGTCGAAAATTGCATGAAAAAGAAGCGCAAACAATTTAGTGAGCCATTTTGCTTTATTTCATCGTATTTCCAAGCCAAAAAATACTTAATATTTGACTTCATTGCAAATGATGAAAAAATACTTCGTCTACTTACATATGGATAATAAAAAGAGTGCAACTTACAAAATAGTAGGGCTACATCGAAATACTACTTATTGCTTTTGCCGTCCTTAGGAGTGGTGTCATACCTATTACTAGAGGTAAAAACAATCAACGAGAAAATAGCATCACATAGGAAATTAAGAAATAATATGAAGAAAGATGCTTTTAAGTAGGGATTGACTGGCCCGCCCCAGACCCGACCCAGCCCGCTCCTCTTTAGGATCGGAGCCCGGCCCGGTGGCTATAAGGGTGGGCTTTGGGCTCATTTTTAGGACCGACCCGGCCGGGGCCCGAGCCTGATTGCACTATTTTTCAATTTATTGTCGAAGCCCGTTCCAGTCCGGTCACGATCCGGTACTGTTTAGACCAGGCCGCGATACAAACCGGAGCTGGTACCAGGCCTGAAATTTTTGGTCCCGCTCAGTGTCGGCCTGGTCTCAATCCATCCCTACTTTTAAGTGCTTTATTTAAGCGGAAAATCAAAGAACACTTATTTAAGCACTTAAAAAATGCTCTGAAGTGCTTTTAAGATGCTTTAAATAGTCATTTGAATTTCAATTTTTTTAAAACCAAAAGTTGAAACACACATTTTTAAGCTAAACACTCCCCATGACGTGATTGCAACACAATTGGTAATAGATTAAGGGAGTGTTTGCAACTGATTCTGCTTAAAAAAACACTTTTGGAGATGTAAGGAAAAAATGATTAGTAGTAAAAGTTGATAGTGTTTGAGAAAAAAGTGATTTTGAAAAATAAAAGTTGGCAGTGTTTGATAAAATAAGTGCTTTTTGTGTAATAGAAAAAGGGAAAAACACTTTTCACACGCAAGTTGAGAAAAAGTAAAAATTGGTAGTTTTTGGTAAATAAGTGTTTTTTAAATCAAAAGCTGAGAAGTTTTTTTTTAACTGTTGCAAACACTCCCTAAGACGACAACACAAGCTAAACACATTATTCAATGCTGTGAGACCCATGCGGTTTAAAGGAGTGTTTATGTTCATTTCTATTTTTTAGTTGTTTATTTTAGAATTTAGACATATAAAAGAGGTAAAAAAAAAACATTAAAGCACATATCATCTACTTGCAAGTTTTGATTTTACAGTGCTTAATTTAAACATAACTTATGTCAAAAACACTTTTTTCAACTTTTCAACGGTTAAAAGCTGAAAACACTTTTTATTTATTTATTTATTTATTTAGTTATTTATTTATTGATTTATTTATTTATTTATTTATTTATTTATTTATTTATTTATTTATTTGTTTATTTATTTATTTATTTATTTATTTATTTATTTATTTATTTATTTATTTATTTATTTATTTATTTATTTATTTATTTATACGGAGTACGAGTATTATGTTTGCAATATTCGGTTGTTATTATTATACACTATTCTAAATTCAAAAACCTAATATTACTGTTTTGCTTCCATGATATTCATTATCCATAATGAACCATTTATACATACTTAAGTTTAAATTAATAAAAATCCCAAAAATCAAATATGGCAAGAATATGAACAAAAATTTGGTTAAAAGTACGTAAATAATATAGAATAACAACATTTGTTAAAAATACGGAGTAGTTAAACATAATAAATTTGGTGTGTAAAATTCAATCTGGTACTTTCACTTTGGAAGAGACAGAAATACTACATAAAATCCTCATGGTCCAAATTTACTTTAGAAGCAAAGACACAATCTGGTCAACAGTCAAACACAATAGGAATAATTTCCCCACCTGCTTCAACACCCGCCTTTTCTTTCTCCTTGATGTCCACATTGGAATATACAGAGGTACCAAGAGTCAAACACATGTGTTGTTGTGTTCAATTAAAGATGGCAGTTATTTAACTGACTTGAGCAAAAGGTAATAATATAAATGATGATGGCCTTTTACTCAAATCTTAATATGTTAATTTTGTCCTTTTGAGTTTTGATCATAAAAAAAGCTCACCATGGCTTTCCAGCAACACACTTCTGTTTCATCTCATGATTGCTCATTAGTTCATTACACCCACAAAATGATGAATTCAAATCAAATTCCAACAATACTTCAATTCAGTATTGAAATTTGAAACAATAGCTCCTTCCAATCTTCCATGTGGATCATAGAATATATCCTCCCCAGTAAGTACAAACTTTTTTGCTTGAAGGGCCAAGATAACTTGACTGTGGGACCCATTGAAATCTGAGTTGATCTCAACCCTCCTTGTAGTGATAACACATTGTAATAATATATACTATCTACAAAGCATAGAGGATCCATTCTCATATGCCACCCCAAGCAGATTTAATGCTACAAACTCAGGTTGGGAAATGAGGCAAAACATGAATTGTCTTTTAGCCAAAAGAAACACCAAAGTTAAAAGTGTAATAATAATGTTTCTTACTACTTCCACCTAATCCCAAGAAAGGATGGAAGGGGAAGAAAGAGCCTATGTGGGACAAAGATACAGCAAAAGTTTATACAACAATCTCGAGAATTGCCTTTTGTAACACCAGATCACAATCACAACCCAATCTTTAGACTAAAATTCATGGGCTGGGTCGAACTGGCATGTTTAAATCTGATTTGGTAAGTAGTGTAAAGTGTAGTCTGGTATTATGTGTATTTTATTACTCTCTGATTTGATCTATTTAAGTTGTTCTAGTCCGGTCTATACAATCCCGGTCTAGACTAGTCTGATCATGCAAGGAAATAAATTCAATTAAACATGTCCATCTTGACATGTCCTAATTAGGAGTAACAAAGCAGATTACCTCTTTTGTCAATAAACAGAATCTCATTGGCCCTTTTTGCATGGAACAGTAAAGTTAGTTACTTCTTTACAATTAATTGGCAGTATATATAAATTACATGTCATTAAAGTTCTGATTGATGATGAATAAACTAGATGCACAAATAACTCATTGCTGCCAGAACGTTAAACATTGGAACTATAAGAGAACAAGTTCACAAGGAAGAGCAACAATGCATGTGGAAGGATGAAAACTATGCACAAGTCATTGATACTTATCATTAAGATACCAAATAATACTTCATATTCACCAAGCTTTCGGATTACATTAGTTTATTTCAGTGATCACAGAAAGAAAGGTAAGGAAAGAATAATGAAGAACTAAAATAAACGAATACTAGCATTTTTTAATAAAAAGCAAGAATATGCTTTGTTGTAACAGACTAACAGCAGGAAGAAACTAAACACTTTAATCAAAGATCAGAGAGAAAAAGTTGTGCAGTATCTCACTATTTTAGTTGCTTGTTACAATTTTAGCTTTGCTTGTCAGCAAATCAACCACCCACACCTGCACAATCCAGGCAAAAGAATAAAAAAATTCAGCCCAATTAAATGAAAAACCGCAGAAATAACCAGTTTGCATTGCCAGAGAAACAGGCATAAATGGCTTAAGAATTTGATCAAGAACAACTTTTACCTGTTCATATGTTGTTCTATTGATCATCCGGAACTTTGTATAAGTCAACTGTAATTTCTGACAACCACAATCCCGGAAAGAGAGTCTGGAAAGCAAACAATCAAAACTGTGAATTGCCAATTTATTTCAATTTTCAAGATAAGATTTGGATACATTGAGAGGAAATTGAACTTACATCTAAATTTTTCTGGACCAGTTTAGATCTTTTCCTCGGGCGGCGGGCGGGTCTGTGACCAACTATAGCCATGAAATCTTCTTCGATCTCTCGCCGGGCGAGAGGAACAGATAGCTTCGCTTTCTCACGCTGCTGGCCGACGACTACGGGTTGGACGTTTTGCAGTGTCGGAGATTTGTTTTCGGCTCTCAATGGGGAGATATTCAAGCTCTGGGTGGATCCGACGGTTGTCCGGCGAGTCCTCAAGCTCCACGGCTTATTCGGGTCAGCGGGGGCGGATTCAGGCGGAGCCAACGCCGGAGACAGTTCCTCTTCCGCTTCCTCCGCCGCCGTCCGGTGCAGCTCTTCCTTCAACCCCTCCCGCAAAATCGCGTCTTTCATCTTATCCGCCGCCGTCTGGAGATCGAACATTAACTTCTCCCTCACAGAGGCGATCCCGTCGTCGGCGTCTGACTCGAATCTCCGGCTACTCCCGACCGCCTCCTTCTTGAGCCGTTCGTGGGACCTGCCGGAAGATGGAGCGACCCGCTTCCTCCCGGTGGGGGGATCCGACAGCCCATTAGGCCTCCGGTGAACGTCGGACATTTCGCCGTTGGAATCCAGCTTAACGCATCTCAGGAACTTCCGGTTCCCCCACTTCAATTCACAGGGAAGCGTGAAATTGTGGAGCGGCTTTGATCTTTCCGGGCCCATCGCCATCGACGCAACCGCAAAGTACCCTTCAGCTCTCTTTCTCTCTGGTTCGCTCGCTGAAGAAGAGAGAAAATTAAGGGTTTCCTGATTGATTTCCCCTTTTGGTTTTCTGGGTTTGTTGTAGTTGTAAAAAATCGCCGGGAACGAAGTTTATATGAGAGACACAGAGGGCGGTTTTAACGTTCGGCTTTCGGGCAACAATTGGTGCTAAAGTGCGCCGTCTCTGGCTATGGACATCTTTTATTACTGCTTTTTAGAATATTTTATTTATTGTTATGCATTCTTTTAATGGTTTTTATTTATATAATTCCAGCCTCATACAAACTTCTTTGTTTTGTGGGATACGGAACATACGTCTACACCTCCATCTCAAATGATTTCGACTAGATTGTTTTTGTCCAATACAATTTTTATTTATTCTATCATTTGAGTATTAAATTTGTATTGTATTAAAATTTTATTTTTTGTGATTCATTGGAATAAAACAATAAAATAAAAGGTTTAAGTAGCAATACTCTATGGATATTATGAAGACAGATTTAACCTTATCATCACTTTGGACCGTCTCCCTAATCTAGGGTTTGCGACTTCTTCGCTTTCATCTTAGACGAAGTTTGCTCCGGGCGAAAAATAGGCGGCGAAGGACTTCCACAACTGGTTTCGTTCGAGCAAGCAGGAGGCTAATGTGGCAAGCAGGTGCAACTAGAAGCTTTCCATTGGAGGATATAGTCCATCAGTATGACAATATGACCATTGGAGGGGATGGAGAGGAGTTGTTCTTCAATGATGACGAGGTTGTCGAGGATGTGGTGGACGAGCGGCGGGCTGTTTTTCCGTTGGTAGACACCCTACTTACAGACCAGAATATAAAATTTCACATTTTCAGAATCTTAGGGCCTCAGCACAGGCATTTCAATCGAAGAGTTCCACAAAAAGATGTATCTTTTCACTTTGTACCATATTGTGGAAATGAGACATGTGTTAGAAAGTGGTTCATGGTTGTTTGAAAGGAATTTGTTAATCCTCAAGGAAATTAGGTCAGAGGATATACCCCTCAAGGTTAACCTAAATGAGGCTCATTTCTGGGTCCATGTGCATAATGTCCCTTATGGCTTTGTGAATATAGGTACTGCTAGGAAGGTTGGTAATTTTATGAGAAAATTCATTAGTTTTGATGAAAGTTAGTTTGAAGGAAACTGTGATGCTTATATGCATATTAGGGTTTGGACGAAAGTTGGATAACCTCGTAAAAGGGGAACAACTCTTAGGAAAGGGGGAGTTGATCACTAAGTGGATTTCAAATATGAAAAGTTGCATAGCTTTTGTTTTGTCTCTGGGGTCATTGGCCATGCTAACATGTTTTTCCCTTTGACATATGAGGGTGATAATACAGTGTTGGAAAAATCTTATGGGGTGGAACTTAGAGTAGGGGGACTAGTCCTACAGGGGGGAACAAGTGGCTAGTGGTAGAAGGAACCTCAGGCACATGAATGGGGCTAAAGCAGCAGAGTAATTTTTAGAGCAGAGATGGTGGAGTGGACGCTGGGAGACAAAGCTGAATTGTTGCTATGATTGATCCAGGCAAGGGCACGGCTGGGGAAGGAGGCGCAATGAGTACCGAGGAGGTGTCAGGTGACCAGAAGCGCGGGAGGTTTTGGGAGGAGCAGAAACATGAGGATCCAAATGGTGATAGCATGGCTCTTGACAAGCCAAAAAGCGAGAAGGTGGTGGGTCCCGGACTCCTGACCCGTCGGGATTTCTGAAGCAAACTTATTGTTGGTCTGGGGCGTGGAAGGTTCTCGTGTTCTTGAGGACGGAGCAGAAGTTTACTTTTACTGTCTTTGTTGTTGCTTTTTTTCTTGATCAGACTCTTTACACTTTCGTATTATTTCTGTAAGACTCTTGCATTAGGATTGAGTGATGGGAGGTTTGCTTTTAACCGTCTTTGGCTCATTTACGCCTATTATAGGATCAACGAGTCATATCGCTTCTTTGAAGGTGATTGACTCTAAGTCTTGTTCAAGGGCTAGTGATTGCTCTCTATCTGAATGATGTAATATCGATTTAAGCCTCCTTTTAAAAAAAAAATAGTTAATCATCACTTCATTTTTAAAGCTCAAGATGTAAATCAATTTAGAACCGAGGTGGTATGCAATTTGAGTTAAATGTGAAAGGTAATTGTAAGTGTATCTTAAAATCTTATACGAAAATTTATAAATTTATATTTGATCAGTTTAGAATGATTTAAAATTGGGTGCTCACTGTTAAAATTTCTAAGGATTAGATGGTTGATTAGAGTTAAATTAGTGTGGAAATCATCTAAAGATATGAGCTCCAACTTAAAATCTAATTCCAAGATAGAGTTAAATTAGTGTGGCTTACATTTTTATATCTTTATATTTATAAATTGTTGATTTAGTGTGCAGTTTGCATGTATGGTCTATGTTGAACCTGATTTGATTTTACATATTTAGTGACTAGTTCACAGTGACTTTTCATCAACAGTGACTTGTCATGGTAAAATACTCTATAGTAACTAGTTCACAATGGCTCGTACACAGTGACTAGTCATATTTTCATCTAGAAACATAGCTAGTCACATTTTGTTTGAGAAAACTCTATTAGTAATATACATGTCGTTTTTTCTATGATTATTATTTAGGTAGCATGATTTATTATGGTATAAGTTTGATTTAAGTTTAAGTAATATAGTTTAATTTGGTGTTTGAAGTTTGTTTTTGTTTCGTCAAGTCTGGTCATCTCCGATCTAGCGGGTGTAATCTCTAAGATAAAAATTAGTCTCAATGAACAGTTTCTCTTCAAGTGTGGGATGGCTGAACACATTTAGGGAGTGTTTGCAATCACTTAGAAAAAAGCACTTCTCAGCTTTTGACTTAAAAAACATTTATTTACCAAACACTACCAATTTCTACTTTTTCTCGGCTTGCGTGTCAAAAGTGCTTTTCCCCTTTCTATTACACAAAAAGCACTTATTTTACCAAACACTATCAACTATTACTTTTCAAAATCACTTTTTTCTCAAACACTATCAACTTTTTCTACTGATCACTTTTTCCTTACATCTCCAAAAGTGCTTTTTTTAAGCACAAGCAGTTGCAAACTGTCACACCCCGGACCTATCCGGACACGTCAACAACCCGCCGTACAATACGAATAGTCAACCGCAGTCCAACACATTCATATTATACAAGGCGTCTTGAATATCATTCACACATATACATCCATAAACAAACATAATAAGTAATTCATAACGCAGCGGAAACATTGTTTAAAACAAAAGGGCCACACAAGGCATTTCATGAGCACGCAGGCTCCATAGTAAAATATCCATGAGCATGTTTAGAAAGGTTTAAAAACAGAATGGAGGAAGCACGAACCAAGTCTTCCCTCCTATATGATCTCTCGAGCAACGAGCACAGGAAGCAAGCTCTAGCCTCAACCTGAAAAATGGTGGTGGGACGCCCCCGAAGGGGTCAGCACTCTATAGGGCTATAAAGTGCTGGTGTGGCAGGCATCTAATAGATATACAACAAGTATTTCACACACAAGACCCTCAAATAGGGTGATAATATAGTATAGGCCGTAATCCCAGATTACCCCTTTCAAAATACATACTTACTTTATATAAAGTCAAGTAGTCGGCTCAAAGGCCCGTGTTTGTTATAAAACATTTCCCAAACCCCGTGACTAATAGTCACGACAATACATAGGGTCCAACCCTAATATAACTTCTCATTTCTAGAGTTAGGCTCGAGTACATCATCATGCACTCGCATCATAGATCTCCTACTTCATATAATCATATCATAGATCTCCTACTTCATGTATTCACCCCATAGATCTCCTACTTCATACAATCCCACCATAGATCTCCTACTTCATATAATCACACCATAGATCTCCTACTTCATATAATCACACCATAGATCTCCTACTTCATACAATCACACTTGACACTTGAATCTTATTCAAGTTCATCACAAACAACTCAAACCTTAAGTTTGATTCTATCAACATTTTGAACAATCCTTAACTAGCATCACAATACTATTAAGATTATTCCTACAACTCATTTATCATAAATGGTAGCCCCTCCATATCAATAGATATGTGGCAGCCTCCCATGTGCTAAGCATCATCATGAAATTATACATTTACATACACATAACATTCATACATGAGTTGGAAGGTCAATTTACCATATTAGCATACTTTTATCTCACATGACTCCATATTCATCAATATGGTTTCAATTCATGGTCAAGTCCATTACTTATCATTCATATCATGTTCAAGCATATTTATTCACAAAAACATGACTCAAGCATTTAGGTAATCTCATGCATAACCTACAAGTTGTAAGCAACTAGATGTCGGTCCTCACCTCAAATGAGCTTTAAAACCTTCCTTCTCGCTCCAACAACCAAAGCCTCGGCCAAGAAGGTTTTAGAACTGATTCCTTGCTTGGAGTTGAGTGTTAAACAGCCCCCTCAAAGTGCTAGTTCAACTCCTAACCGAAGACGCAAAAACAGTCCCTAGAACGGGTGTTTCCCGACGAATTCGTTCCCTAACCTTTCAAGGTTTTGTCTAGGTTAGTATCTAACCTTTCCAACAATTAAAGTCACTTTATAATAACATTTTATACACTTCAATCAGTGTATAATAGTTCTTCAATCATTTATACGATTTAGACAATAGAGAGGAAGGTTTTGGATTCAAACTTACTTTGAATACAAAAACGTATTCCGCGAGGTTGTGTTTTGCTCGGACGATTTGGAAGCCTTCCACTACTCCGATTGATGCAAACCAGACATCCACGGATTCCTCGTCTTGAGAGCTTTCTTTTGGTATCTTATACGCCTTAATTGGACGAGTGAATCTCGAGTTATGGCTCAAACAATCAGAGCTACGCACTGAAGAACGAACCTGCGGACAGCTTGCTCTCTCTTTGGCTTATCTTGGTTATGTGGCTCTCTCCTTCTCTCTTATCTTGGGGAGTTCGAATGGGGTGTAGGGGGGAGTGTAAAGGATGCCTTAAACATGCTAAGAGAGCATGTGGCTCACAAAAGAGCATGGGAGACATTGGTTTGCAATCAAATGTGAGGTGGACCTCCACTTTTATTTCTTTTTGTAATGTATTGCTCTTAAGTCAACATGCTCGCCCCATATAGTCATCTCACCCATTTTTTCTTTGTCTTGCAGGTACTCAAGTCATGTGGAGTGGTTCCCAATCATTTTGGGGTCCAAAATATATATCAATACTTCCAAAAATGGGAAGATGGGTCCTATAGT